TCTTTCTTGTTGCATAGTACTCCATTGAGTGTATGTACCATAGTTTGTTTATCCATTCATCTGTTGATGGGCATCTGGGTTGTTTCCATCGTTTTGCTATTGTGAACAGTGCTGCCATGAACATAGGTGTGCATATGTCTATTCGAGTGACGACTCTTATTTCTCTAGGATATATTCCTAGAAGTGGGATTGCTGGGTCGTATGGTATTTCTATTTCTAGCTTTCTGAGGAAGAGCCGTATCATTTTCCAAAATGCTTGTATCATATTGCATTGGGAATGTTTTTTGTTGCTAGAAGACTTAGAAGATCCTGTTTGCAACTGGAGGAACGTTTCCAGCAGTTTGGAGCTGGCAGAATCATGACTGTTTGATGAACTGAGTTCCATTTCTGTGACTGATTTGTACCTAAGATGTTCATTTATCAGCTGTTCCTGCTCTGTGCATGCTGTTGAATGATGATGGTTAAAAAAAAAAAAATTTACATAATTTGTTTTGAGTGAGGGGTCATATTTCCAACTCAATTAGGCCTTCAGAACTGCTTGCTGATCTTGTTAATCCTAATCCCCTTTGTTACTTGCTTCTCTGCATCTTCTGGTCTTTCGTCTTATTCCTCTTCAGCCAGAGCACCTGCCTCTCAGATGGTAACTTCACTTCTATTTCACAGAGAAACTTTCCAAAATAAACTTATCTCCCTTAAAATCCCCTCAAACTTACTTTCCCTTTCATATTACTTTCCTCTCTTCATCATTTGATGTTGTTGATGAGGTCCTCAATTCTGAAATTTTCTTTTGGTTTCCCTAACACCCACTCTCCCTGGTTTTCTTTTTCTGTTTGCACCTTCTCATTCTCCGTTGCTGCCTTCTCTCCTGGCCCCTTAAATGGAGGTCCTTCAAGGAGTTCTGTCCTGGGTCTTCACTTACTCTGCACTTGGTCTCTGGGCCATGATATCCATTCCCATGATTTCACGTAACTCCTTGCTAATAAGTCTATCTCTGGTCTCTTTCTTTAGTTCTAGACCAGAATTTCAAACTGCTTGACAGATACCTCTTTATAACTGTTCCAAAAGTACCTCAAACTCAAATTCAAGCTGTAATGAGTATCTGTTTTCCAAACACTCAGGCTAAAAACCTGACGATAACCTTGACTCTTCCCTTTCCTTCACCCCACCCAACTTAGGCAGGTCCTATCAATTCTGCCTGCGGGTGATCCAGAGCATCTAAAGTGTCGAGAATCGTTGCTGTCCCTGCTGCTGCTGCTGCCCAAGTTCACGACCTTGTCTTCCTTACCTGGGAGTATCACACTGGTTTCCTCACTTGTCTCTATCTCCATTCTCTCAGGTTTTCCAGAAGAACCACAGTAGGAACCACAACACGTCACTCCTGTCCTTGGTTGCTCTGCAGTGTCTACAGAGTAACATCCAGCCTCTTGGTAGTCAGGACCATTTATGTCTTGTCCCAAATGCCTCTTCCAGCCTCGTGTCCCACACCCTGTCTAGCAGCCATTTCCTAAAACTATCAAATTTCTGTTCTGGGTGTTTACTTGTGGTGTTCTTGCCTTGACTGTCCACTCCTCCCATCCATTGCTAGAAAGTCCTTCAGGCCCAGTGTAAAAGTCATCTCCTCAATGAAGGCTTCCATTTTTGAGTCTGTGGTAAGTGTTTGGGGGATTATGACGAGTATAATTTGACTACAGCTACCTTAGTAACAACTACCGTTTGTGGAGAATTGAGTGTCAGTCATCATTATAAACATCTTCCATTCATTATCACATTTATACCAGAAGCAGGCAGTTAAGCACATGAGCTTTGATGGCAGAGTCCCAGCTCTGCCATTGACTAGCTGTGTAACCTTGGATAAGTTATTTAATATCTATGTCAGTTAAGTCTGAGGGTTAAATGTGCTTAGTATACAGAAAGCAAGAAATAAATGGTAGCTGCTGCCACCATGGCTGATAAGATTTTCATCCCTCATGACCCCCTTGTGAGGTAGTAGGTACTGTTATTATTCCTGTTTTACAGATGATGAAACCGAGGCTTAGGCAGACTGGGTGGTACGACATGTGACTGGAAATTGTGGCTTATTCATCTTTTTATCCCAGAACGTCTTACGAGCTTGATTAATGGTTGTTGACTTGAACTGAAAGATGGATCTGGAACTCCAGGGTCAGATTGAGAGAGGGATTTAGAAATTGTCACCTGCTCAAGGGTGGTCGTCGAAGCTGTTCTTTTTCCTTTTTTAAAATTTATTTTATGGTGGTAAAAATATACATAACAAAACATATTCCAACTCAGCAATTTCTACATGTATAATTCAGTGACATTGATTACATTCATCGTGTTGTGCAACCCTCACCAGTATCCCCCTCCAAATTATTTCACCACCCTCAACAGAAAGTCAGTGATCCGCCGAAGTCATGACTCCGCCTTTCCCCCTTCCTCTCACTCCCAGCTACTAACCACAAACCTTGGTCTCTATATATTTGCCCATTTCATGTAAGTGGGAGGATCATACAACATTTGTCCTCTTGTGAGATAATTATTGTCTTTAACTGTTACTTAAATCTTTTGTTGTTACTGTCCGCATGTGTTTGTTTTCTTTCCCCAACTGGATTGTAAGCTCTTTGAGGGCAGAGGACTGTACCTTATCCTTGGGTGGATTTGCACCTCCTCCCTTATAGTCCTCGTTTTTGTTTACTAAGATAACAGGTCACATCTGAGTAACATTTAGTCATCACCTGAAAAAGAAATTCTCAGCCATTTCCAAGCACTGACTCACCAGCCAAGATGATTTTGTTAATCTTTACTTTCTACAGTTTGTATTAGGAAAACATTATTTAATTCACATTTTCCAAATAGAAATGACTATGTCAAGTATGCTTTTTTAAACTTCATCTCTACTGCATTCCTTACAGTCCCTGCCTCTATACCCTCTAGGATTCTAATACACATTTCTACTCTTGGGTAAGAGTCAATGACATAAACTCGCCTGTCCCCGTTCTCTCCTTTTATGGTTGAAGAAACTGAAGGCCATGTTCCAAGTGGTTCTCCCTTCCCTTTTTTTAAACTGCTTTGGTGGCGATACGTTCTCCCATTTTTTATCTGACAAAGTATTTTCTAAAAAGCTTGGTTTAGACCCAAGATCTTTCGGAGTATGAGATTTTTAAGTGTTTTGTACTTTTCTTTTGACAGAGCTGAAAAGCTTCAGCTGCTGAATCACAGGCCTATGACTGCTGTTGAGATCCAGCTGGTAAGTAAAGGAGGCCTGAACTTCAGGGTTTTTTTTTCTGGGTTGGAGATGTAGAAAGGGTGTCAGAAGTTGAGAACAAACAAGCCAGAAGCTGCCATTTCTTGAAGAGACTGCCCATCCACCCCATTTTGTAAGAAAAAGAAGAGCTCACCTAGCTAGTATATGATCCTAGTTAGTGTGGAGTTATGAAGAGTAGCAGACAGGAAGAAATTAATTCCTCTCATAGGGTTTGGGCCTATGCCTCCTCTGATGACGTAGGTCATTCTGGCCGTTGCTTCCGTGTAGGGGTCATTGCCATCCAGTTGTTGGCATAAGAACATTAGCCTCAATGTGTCTTCAGTCCTACTCTTCTGTGTCTCCTTTCTTGGTTCATGGGGCATGTGTGTGCTTCCCACATGCTCTTTTTTTTCTTTTTTAGGTGAGGTCATACAATATTTGTCCTTTCGTGATTGGCTTATTTTACTCAGCATAATGTCTTCAAGCTCCATCCATACTGTAGCATGTATCAAGACTTCATTTCTCCTACTGGCTGAGTAGTATGCCATCGTATGCATGTACCACATTTTGTTTATCCATTCATCTGCTGATGGGCATTTAGACTGTTTCCACCTTTTGGGTACTGTGAATAGTGCTGCAGTGAACATTGGTGTACAAGTCTCTGTTTGAGTCTCTGCTTTCAAGTGTTTTGGGTATGTACCTAGCAGTGGAATTGCTGGATCATATGGTAGTTCTACTATATAGTAGTTCTGGAGCCCTGGTGGTACAGTGGTTAAGAGATCGGCTGCTAACCAAAAGATCAGCAGTTTGAATCCACCAGCTGCTCCTTGGAAA